AAGAAAAACAGAAAATATTTTTAAAAAACAAATACAGCCATATCACACACACAAAAAAAAAAAAAAAAAAAAAAAAAAAAAAAAAAAAGTAAGATAACTATAAGCAATAGCATTCTCTAAAACAGTGGATTAGCTCTCTAACCAAATTTTTGTATTAAGGACAACCACCTATATCTTATCTTGCTGCAACCCTGTAAGCTGCTAAATTCAGTGCAATTAATGATAATGTAAAGAGTTCAGGGTTTTGTAAATTTAAACTCAAATATGAAATGAATATCCCTAAATTGTTTTTACAAACCAAGGCTACACATGCCTCTCATCCCTTCCCCAGCCCTAAAGCAAACAAAACTTTGATGAGGACAAAACTTTTCCCAAAGGTCTTCAAATCATCTGGTAATCTAACAGATTGCCAGTTCGCTTAGTGTTTGAAATAACAACTCACATTCACAAAGGGGTTTCTTGTCTTCTGAGCACAAGATTGCAGATGAAGTTTTTTTCCACCCATGGAGAATATATTCCTGTCCAGTAAAATATTACTGCTAACTCCCCCCGAAAATGTTCAAAAACTTTCTTCTAACTGATCCTCAATGTATTTATTTATTTATTGCCACACCACTGACATAATGAAACAATAATCTTCCCCTCACTGAGAGGGGTTGCTAATAATGATGTTAGCTGTGGGCCTGCCAGTACTGTGAGGCAACCTTCTTTACTCTTCTTCATTTGCTTTGTACATGTCAAGAATCTTTAAGGGAGTTTTTATTAAGTAGCATACTTCTGTTTCAACATAAACTCCTCAGCTCTAGCGTATTTCAGTAGAGTTAGGAAACGTATCCTGGCATTTTCTTTCCCAGGTATCCCTCTATAGCTTTCAATTGTCAGCAGCTTCAATATGTTGCTAGACCAGTTTGTTAAAACTCTCAGGCTGTTTTGGAGTAGGAATAATTAACCAGCAGCTAAAAAGTTAAAATTACTTCCTTTGCCAGTGATTATATTGGTCTGTTCTTTTACAGTTGCACAGGAATGTCACAATTTAGACATCTATTTGACAGCAACAGCACTATATGGAGGGAAGATAAGAAATGACGTACCTAGACCACCTTATGTAAGCCCACAGATAATCTGTTTGCCTTACAGGCCTGCACAATACAGGAATGTTCCCACCACTCCGGGGGCTGTGTTGCATCCAAGTCAAACACAAGCCACAGAAACAGTCAAACTTTGCTTTCTCTGGATGAAAATATTGAAAGTGAGCGTAACATGACTGGCTTAGGCTGCAGCTTACCCCCTCTGAAGGGGCATGAGCTTCCTGCCTGGCTGCTCTGTTTTTACGGAACATACAATAATTTAGTTGACACCCATGCCTCACCATCAGGTTTGTTGACAGATAAGCACGCACACAAAGTGCATAAATCTTGGGGTGTTTTTGGAAACCAGATTACTTACGTTCATCTGCACCTGCTATATTCAGAAGTTTGACATAGTCAGTAGAGTCATCTCTTTACTTCTTCAGAAATGACAGGTACTACAAGAATGACAATAAGCCACCAGAGACTACGTTACATCTACACTTTTGACTGAGGTGATGCTGTCATACATAACAAAAGCACTCTGTAAGCATTCAGCAGTAATACATACATAAGAAACATAGGAATCAAGATGCAGGTGCATAGCTAAGATGTAGTTAATTTTTCCATCACCTACAAAAAACTTTTTTTAAGCATGCTCCCCGTTTATACTTTGCTATTTTTTATTTTTATTTAATTCCTTTTTTTCCCCTTTTTCTTATACTTATTGTGAAGATACTGCTATATGCTATTTTTGTATTAGGAATTTCCCTTTTTATCACTGTATTGCATTGGACCTACACTGTGTTGTCCATTTACAGGCTGTAGTCCTCACATTTCTCTTGCTTATCTAGACATCCATGGATACTTTGAAAAATTATTTGCAACAGACACCAGTAGGTGAGAACATGATATAGAATCACAGAACGGTTTGGGTTGGAAGGGACCTTAAAGACCACCTGGTTCCAGCCCCCTGTCACGGGCAGGAACACCTCCCACCAGACCAGGTTACCCAAACCCCCATCCAGCCTGGCCTTGAACACCTCCAGGGATGGGGAATCTGCAGCTTCTCTGCAAAGGGATATAAAAACTTGTAGTAGGCCTAATGACACAGCTGGAAAAAAAAACAGGTTTTCAGGTGTACAGCTGTAGTGGTCCTAATGGACCACAGAACTCATGTGCCCCACATCTTGTCTGCTTTTTGTACTTACATCAGATGTTTTACCAGAAGTTGTTGCCTTACTGTATCCTCAGATCTTCATAGTTAGCCTACCGTAAGATACTCCATTGCCCAACGGATGCTGCACTCTCACTGCTGGTGTTTGCCAGACTTGAACAGGAATTTGTGACGTATTGATTCCTCTGGTTTACTTTTGCTAATTTTAGAAATGAGTCATTCAAATGTTAATTTGGAAAAATAAATAAGTAAAGGCAAAAGTTTCAAGGGCAAAAAATTTCCAGAAAGCCGTGTGTCAGGTTACTGAAATCTAGTTCACGTACTTGGCAAAGCAGCTGTGATTTGCCCAGCTTCTCATAAGGTGAATTGCGCCTGTTCACTCACTTAAGTCTAATAATTTCTAAGATATGCTTTTGCATGGCAGATGACCACACACAAATTCTGTGTACAACCAGAGTGCATGAGCTCAATTCCGACAAATAAAATCTGACCAAAAGGGACCAAGTGAACTAACAGAAAAAAAGTGGCCAAACTCCATCAGTACCAGTTCCCACTGTGCCCTCCCTGAAAACCATAAGCAAGCTTGGCCAGGGAGGCCGTGTAATTGCAGATCTGTTGCATCCATTATAAGGCTTCCTGTTACTCTCTGTGTACCCAGATCTCTGTTCACTCTAGAGAACTATGTTGTGATGGAGAAGAGGTGACTGATGTATGTTATTTAACTCTTATTTACTACTACAGAGTAACATTTTCAGTTCCTGTATTTTTCGCAGACAGAAAGAAAATAGTAGAGCTTGCAAAGAAAACATTTTTACCAGCAATGCATGTTGTGAAATCACAGAAGATGCTTGTTCTTATGCTAAGCAACACACATGTGCCTTGAAAAATTAAATATATAGTCCAGACTCTCTTCATGAACCCAGCATGCTATAAGCTATTTGGATAGAAGGCATGATTAACCGTCTCCCCAGCAAGGCCTGTTCTCAGCCCCTGCTAAAATACTGTAACATCACGGCAAGTTTCTTTAAAGGAAAGGAGCTTAGCACAGATGCCCAGTTTTGTAACATTGTTTGCAATCATAATACCATTTCTCCTGCAGATGTTTCCTGAAACTGATTTCACAAAAAAATTCTGTTAGGATTTTTTTCCATGCTTCATTACTCTACCAAAATAACATTCAAAGGTTGAAATCGACACAAAAACAGAAGAAGAATATACGTTAGAGTTTAGAAAATAGTAGTAAGCAAAATTCAGCTGATACAGTAAATACATATGCAAATAAGGATTTTTTTTGTCTTAAAATTACTCTGTAAGGAATTCATTTTGTTTTTGTCTTACAATTACTCTTTGTACACTTCTACAGCCAACGCTTTATGCTGCTGATACTGCAGTCAAAAACAAAACTGTTCAACGCAACTTTCAACGCAACTGTTCAACGCAACTTTCAACGCAAGCAGGACTGTTGGAGGTGAATAAATAAAGTATTTTCTGTAACTCACATAAAATGTTCAGAACTAACAACCGACTGAACACTGAGTTGGAAAATATGGGAGTTTACATCTAATTTGTATAGTCCTACATATAGTGCAGGTGTGTGGCAGTTGCAAGAGCTTGGTACTTCTAAGGTGTTTTTTTTTTTTCCTGTTTTATTACTTATTATTAAAACTGTGCCTATAAAACCTATAAAATGAAAACCTATACAGTGAATTCACCTGGATCTACCAAACAGAAACCGTACCTTTGTGAGAAATACAAACTACTTGCAATAAGTCATGGAGTAGCAACAGTGTGAGCCAGTTGTGGCCATGTAAACATCACCATTAGCTCTTCTGCCATTTTTTCCTCAAATATCTAGCAAATATATTGGCCCACTGTTGCTGAAAGTAGGCAGAGATTATAATTTTATTCTTCCCAAATTATATGTTACATCTTGTCTCAGTGACCAAACTATAAAACTACTGCCTACTTCATTTCACGTTCTCTGGAATTCATAACTATCAGACCTTCACCTTTTCAACACATTTTCAGCAATGCAAAAAGCTGTGATATACTGGTACTTAAGGATAAAGATAATGGAAAACTATTTTGAATTTGTAATTAAATGTAAATAACCACAGCCAATTTAAAAACTTGCTCACAAAAATAGTTTCCCTGACCTTAATGCTTGTCTCCATACTCCAGGAAAGGAATATTCCCCTTTAATAGAGTGAATATGAGACAAACCTGGGTTAACGGATGGATGAAAAATAGAATCCTAGTTCCAGCACATGAAATGCACATGAAATCAGGGGAATACTCATGTTTCTCCACAAAAATACAAACTTTTACGAGCCTGCAAGTGAACTACAGCCATGCAGATAACTGTTGGGAACCAAAGGTTGATTGTTTCTGAGCACTTAAAAGGAACTGAAAAGAAGCAGCAGTAAGTTTTAGATCAGTTCCCATACCTATTGGCAAAGCAAAGCTTCACAAATTCAACTGATGCAATATAATAGCTTTCAACCCCTCAGCTGCCAACCACTATGCCCTAAGGAACCAGTAAATACTTAATAAATAATAAAATAGAATTAGCTGATCTATCAGTAAGCAGACACTGGAAGGGATGGTCCTACCCTCTCTTTCTCTCTGGATGTGTGACCTGGCCTCTTCCCCTGATCAGACTGAGTGATGGAGCAGCCATAATGTGTGTCAGCTCAGCGGGCTGCTCTGGCAGAAAACTATCCATAAAAAATAAATAAATAAAACAGTTCAAGTACCTTGTGAATTGATTTACCATGCAGCTTCAGGATTGCTATGGGATGGGGAACAAGGAAGAGAGGGAGTTAGAGGACCGCCTCTTGAGGCCACTCAGGATTTCCTTAGCCCAGCTGTGAGGTGAACCTGCACCTGGAAGGTCCTGTGGGCTTCCACTTCCTTTCACCTTACTCTGCTTAGCAGGACAAAAGCAGCCGGCCACATTTGTATGATTTTGTCCCCTTTCTCCAAAGCCCCCTCTCCTGTGTTGCCCCACGCGATGATGTCTCCAACACACCGCAGGTGTTGAGGAGAAATATTTCTTCTCTGATAGCACGAGGGCTATCAGAGGGGGGCAGCAAAGGGGGGGTGGGGGGGGTACCGCATCCCCGGCCCCTGGGAACTTGACCCCGAAGCCAGGGCCAGACGCCGGGGTGCTGCAGGGCAGGGCGGGGGGGGGTGGAAACGTCGGGCCCCCCCCCCGGCCCTGCCCCCCCCCCCGGAGGGGTCTGGCAGCAGAACAAAGGCGGCGGCCGGGAGGCGGCGCGGGGGGGCCCCGAGGGGCTTCCCACGGGGGCTCGGGGGGGGCTCGGGGGGGGTCTCGGGAGCCCCCGGCCCATCCCCGGGCCGCGGGGTCGCTGCGGTGGGGGCTGGGGGGGGGCCCCAGAGTCCCCCCCCCCGGCCCCTCCCCCTCGGGTCCCTCCTACCCAAGCCCCGCCCCTCCAGTCAAGCCCCGCCCCAAATTCCACTCGATGACGTCACCGCCCAAGCACCCCCCCCCCTTACCGACTTTCCAACCGGCAGCGGGGGGGGGCTCGTCTCAGATCGGCGTCATCTCAACCCCTGAGCCCTCCTCTCAACCCAACCCAACCCCTGAGCCCTTCTCCCAACCCCTGAGCCCTTCAGGTCGTATTTGGGGAGGGAGGGAGCGGCTGATGTGGAACTCGACCACCCGCCCGAGCACAAGCACCACGCAGACACCAATTCTTATCAAGAAGATTTATTCCTTATTTATTCCTTCTCCGGCTCTTCCGTCCCCTTCCGCCGCAGGAACTCACTTCGGTACCGCTGTCTGGCACGGGGTCACGGAGCTCCGGAGCTGGCGCCTGGCTGTGGGATGAGCCTTCTGCTGCGGCTGCCGTGGAGGGGAGAACTCCTCTCCTAAAGTCCTGCAGCTCCCTCAGCAGCCTGAGGCACTGCTCCTTGTCCCCAAAGACATACACGTCGTTTCCCAGAGCCAGAGGAAACTTGAGTTCAGGGCACTCGTCTGGACCCTCCGTGGGTTGGCAGCCGTGGCGAGGTGAACGGCTTTTCAGTTCGGGTGATTCTTGCCCCAGGGACTGCGGGATGAAGGACACGTGCCGTGCTCCCGATTCTTCGCTCCCATCTACAGAGCCCTCGTCCGAGGAAAGGCAGCACCCAGGGATGTCGAGGGTGACACCTGACGTCGAGGAACTTGCGTAGATGATGGTTGACTTTTCCGAAGCGTCAGAGCCGTCTTCGTGGTTCGTGAGGTTCCGGGCCTGTGCTGTGGGAGCTGTCGTCGCCTGGGGCAGTTCTGAGACGATCCAGTTGGAATTTTTTCTTTTCTCCAGTTCGAGTCCTTGCGAGAGCAGCTCACATTGCTGCCTTTGCTGCTGACACCGCTGCTCGGACTGTGTCAGCTGCGCTCGTAACGCTTGCAGCTCTTCCTCATGTGCCCTTTGTTGCTCTGCCCAAGCCTTCTGCCAATGCTTCACCTCCTCCTCTTTCTTCTGCAGCATCAGCTTTGTTTCCTCTAGCTCCGTCTCCCGTTGTTGCATTATTTTGGCCAGTTGACTCGTGTTCTGAAATTCACAACTGACATACTGCAGGACTTTTACGAGCTGTTTAGCATTTCGCTGCTCTGACACTTGCAGGACTTCCTGCTTCAGAGCAGCGTTTTCAGCCTCAACCTCCTTTATCCTCTCATTCTGCTTGCGGAGCTGAGAGTTTTCCTGGTCGCGTGTGGCTTTTTCTTTCAGCATCTGTGCCAGATGCTCTTTGAGCTCCTCGCTCCTGTTCTTCAGCCGAGAGCGTTCCAGGTCCCGTTTCTTCTGCAGCTGAAGCTTCTCCATCGCCTCCTTTTCAATCAGCTGCTGGTCGACCTGCTCCGTCTTTGCAGCAGCATTTTCAGATCTTGAGGCAAACTCTTTCAGCTGCCTGACTCTTTCCCTCACCTCCTTGGTCAGGAGGCCCACCACGCTGATGTCCTCGATGAGCCTCCGTGCCTTCTCCGTGGCTCCCAGCAGGGAGCCCTCGTCCTCCGGAAGGCAGGCCTCCTCCTGAAGGAGCCCGCATCGCCTCCCCGGCTCCTGCAGGGCATTGAGCAGTTTGGCTTTCTGCTCCAGAAGCTGTCCGCCTCCGCTGCCGGGGGGGCAGGGCTCTTGCTGCCCTGAGACCTGAACCCCCACGTGGCGCTGGGCCGCGGCCTTGTCCCCGTCGTGGGAGGCAGGCGCCCTGCACTCGGCCTTCTTCACCACCTCCTTGTAGAAGAGCCTTCTCTGCAGGCTCAGCTTCTTCTTCAGGGCCAGGATCTGGGCGGCGGCGTCCCGCTGCCGCTGGAGCAGCTCCTGCTCCCGGCGCCGCTCGGCCTCCTTCTCCTGCAGCAGCTGCCGGAGCTCCGCCGCCCGCTGCCTCCGGCTCTGCTCCTCGAGCTGCTGCAGCTCCCGCGCCCGCTCCTGCTCCCATTTGGAGCGTAGCTGCTGGGCCAGGAGCTGCCGCTCCTGCTCTGCCCTCTTCTTCATCTCACGGGCCTCGGTGTTGAGGCGCCGTTGCAGCTCCTGGGAGCGGAGACGCTCGGCCTGCAGCTGGGCCCGCAGCGCCTCCAGCTCCTGCCTGTGCTCCTGGTGCTGCACAGGGCCCCGACGGGATGAGGGCTGACCACGAGCCACGGGCCCCTGGCCATCACCACCGCCGGTCATGGTTTCAATAACCACTACTAATAACTAATAACTAATAATAATACTAATAACCACTACTAATAACCACTACTACTAACTGGCAATAATAACCAGAAATAACTGGAACTCGGTGAACGGTCACCAAACGCTGCCAGCAATCGCCACCAGCAATCGCACGGCCTGGGCCTGAGAGGGACAGCAGGCTCTGAGCCCCCAGCAAACACCAGCACCGCACAGCAGCAGAGGCAATCCCTACTGCTGGCCCTGTGGGCGCGAGCGGGGCCTTATATGCTGTGCCCTGGCTGTGACGTTATAAGGGAGGGATGACGTCGTAAAGGCAGGATGCCGCCACATGACCTTCTATGGCGCGTCTGCGCCCCAACGCCCCTGTTATAAATGGCTCAGGATTCAAATTAGGATTAAATAAAAAAATTGGATTTATTAAAAGAATATAAAGGAATAGAGGTAAGCAAACAGCGCTGGGTGCACCGGGAGTCTCTGCTCCACCAGGACGCACACCAGTTACATCAAGCAGCTGATTTTTATGCACCTAGACTAATACATATTCATTACTACTTCTAAAAAAATAGATTATTATAACTAGCTTCCGGGGTCCAGTCCCTCCTACTGGAGCATGCGCATCAGTCTCCTCTGGGGGTCTCTAGGGGTCTTTCATGCTGAAGGCTCGTAGTCTTCCTCTCACCCTTTGTACTTACTCGGCACTATTCCAAGTTTATGGAACACTCTCTGTACACTCTCCACAGGTCTTGTCTCCCAACCGTCCTTCAGCTTCTTTTTTCTTCCTCTTAATCTCTTGGCCCCCCTGGCCAGATACCAAGGATCTCATAACAGTCACTAGTTGTTATCAGTTGTTCTGAAACTCCCAGACATCAAACACAAACAGCTTTCTTATTTGACGCTTCACGAGTAATTAAAACATTCTTCCCCAGCCATTCACAGACACATCTATAGCAGTGTTAAGTTAATCTCGAAGAAGACAGGAAAAAAGGCTGTAACTGTTAGAAATAGAAGTCCGGAATAACAAAAGCAAACAGGTTCACAAATTTAAGGAGTGTTTTCTGAAGACGTGATAAATTGACTAGAATGAGGGGGAGACTGGGACACACTGCATCTGTGGTTCAAGAACTAAATTGCCAGTGCAGGGCCCAGAGGCAGACAGGATTCAAACAGAATTATTCTTTATGGACACGAATTTATGGACACGAATTGGAATTGTTAAAACATTCCTCACAATCCCTTATCTTCTTTTTAATATCCCCAATTCGTGTCTCTTCTGTTATTAATAACTGGATTTCATCAGTTTGTTCTTGGAGGGTCCAATCCTTAAGCATCATAATTGACATATTCCCTTCCTTTTTTAAAGAAGTTATTACCAATGTACTATTTATCACCCGGCGTATTGATAATGTAAAACAAGGTATCATACAAGGTACAAATAATAACGTCATTACACCACATAACAATAAAAATAACACTCTTTTAACCCATGGTCCACCAGGCAGCCATGAAAATAAATCCCATTCCATATCCTTCCAGGTTTGTGTTTGCTCGCTCACCTCCCCCCTCTCCTTCTCTGGGATGGGAGAGAGAAATGGGAAAGTGAAGCCTGTGAGTTGAGATAACAAGAAAATAATAATAATAATAACAATAATAATGATGATAATATTACTACTAGTAATAATGTATACGAAACAAGTGATGCACAATGCAATTGCTCACCACCTGCTGTCCGATGCCCAACCCAACCCCGAGCAGTCCGGCCCTCCTCCCAGCCTGCCTGCTGGCAGGACAGTGAGAAGCTGAATTTGGCTTGGTCCTTGGCTTGGTGTAAACACTGCTCTGTAACAATTAAAAACAATTAAAACATCAGCATATTATTAACATTCTTCTCATCCTAAACCAGAACATAACATTCTATCAGCTACTAGGAAGAAACACCCTTTTTATCAATCTTTAAACAGCAATTACTAAAGCTAAATTTTCCACAGACTTCTCCTTCTTGTGCTAGTAAATAATCCAAAGTTAGGCTATTTTGATACAAAGCAGTTCTCATCACTTATAACTATTTCTATTACAGCTAATAACCTAATTATTCTATTAAGTATATATACTGGGGTCCTATAGTCCCACGATCTGTCTTCTGCCCACGTATCTGGATCATAATAGGCAAACACCTTCAGGGTTGATTCAGGCTTGTGTTACCATTCGGCCTGTCAGGGTGATCCAGCTCCTGGAAAACGAATCACAATTTT